TCATCCCTGTAATTCCACGGAAGTCAATGGTACACTTGTATTGGCAAGTCAACGGGATTTGGTGGATATGGTAATGATTTTAGATCTATAATGTCAAACCAGTGACAGACCAGCAAAAGGTTCTTATCTATTACCAATCTCCTGGATATCCTATTTCTGCTTTCGCTAATATCGCCTATTAGCTCCAAAATAAAACAAACACACAGATCTCAGATATGGGTTTGTAGTGGGCATTCTCCTAACTAGTCTTCAGGCATGGAGCCTTGGTAGCCACAGTTTGCCATTCATAGCCAATGGGAGCTGTGGGAAGTGGTGGCCCAGGCCCGTGCCACTTCCTGCAGCTCCCATTGGCCAGAAATGATGAACCATGGTGGGAGCTGCGGGGCTCCGTGACTACAGATGCTCAAGTAAATAAACTATTTAGTGGCCCACCAAGTGTCTAAAACTGACAAACTGCATGTGGCTCGCGTGCCAGTTTTCCCACCGTAGGCTTAGATATTTATACATTCAGGCTATGTCTACACTGTAGGCTTTTGCTGGCAGAGAGTATGCTAATGAAGCACTCATTAGTATTTGTGGTGCTGTTATTTGCATATTCTCTGCTGATGCTTTTTGTGCAAGAGGTTTTTGCACAAGAACAAGCAGTGCAGACGGGCCTGTCTTGCACAAAAAAACCCCCGTTTTGCACAAGATCCTTATGCCTCAAAAAAGGAGGTATAAGGATCTTGCACAAAATGGACCCATCTACTCTGCTTGGTTTTGTGCAAAAACCATCAGAGAATATGCAAATGACAGCGCCACACATGCTAAAGAGCTCTTCATTAACATACTCTCTGCCAGCAAAAGCCTGCTGTGTAGACATAGCCTAACAGTTTTAGCCTAGAATTTTACCATTCACTTAATTGGGAGACCCTCTTGGTATGGCTATGCTGCAGCTGGGAGAAAACCTCCAAGCCCAGCTAAACTAATACATACCAACTCTGCTTCAGCTAGCGTGCCAAAAAACCCAGCATGGATACTGTAGTAAGCTTGTCAGCTTCGGCTAGCCACCTGAGCTAGCAAACAGACGGTCAGCCATCACCATATTGCTATTTTTAGCACACTAGCTTGAGCTAAGGTAAGTGTCTTTTCCTAACTGGTCTAGGAGGCACACTCCCAGCAACTGCACAGACATACCCTTTGACAAGTACTTACTGTGGTCATGTACTCATGTAACTTAGCTCACAAATCATTTAAAATTTAACAGCTCATCTATTTTAAATTAAAGGTAGCTGGAGCGTTGCCATGCCATCAGATTTCAGGCCTCCCACAGCTTATTTTACTTATAACTAGCTGTTAATTAAAAGATAATTTTCAAAGTATTGATTTCTTCAACTTAAAACAATAGATTGATGTACCCTATTATTTTTCCATCTTCTCATCTGTCCCTGGGCACAACAGAATGATTAAAAGATAGAGCCGCCATCAAAGCTTGGAAGTCTAATTTTGGAACATTTGCTCAAACAGTGGGCCAACTTCTGCTTTCACTTACGCCAATGCAACGTGACTATGTTTCAGCAGAGTTACAGAGAGGCAACAGAAGAGTCTGAGAGCCAAATGAATGTACATTGGAATTGTAGGGAGACTTATGGGTGCTGGAACTTTTCTCCCTCTTTTTGTCCAAATTTAGACAAAAATGTGTGCGTAGACAACTTTCATTTTTTTTATTAAAAACTTATTTATGTGATGAAAACAGACATTTTTGCATGAACATTTCCATTGTATTGAAGAGCTATTTTCAGTTAAACCAAAACTGTCTCCACCTGCCCCCCACCCCAACCAGCTCTAATTATATGTGTATCAGTTTCTAAAATGCTACCAAAAATCAATAAAGGTATGTAGGTGACATAGTAGCAATTTATAGATTTGATTACACTTTTGTCCCTGCAGTCTTTTCATTCACAGACCGCTCCATTTGAAGTTAATGGGTATTTATTTTATGGCAGCCAGCAGAATTGGTGAACCCACTAGACTATGGATACCTGATACATGAAAAAGTAAGTTTGAACAGGATCAGTATGAAGTTCTGGGACACTACTTTTTTTTAGTAATATTTTAATTTTATACAGACTAAAAAAATATAAAAATTCAAATCTGCTGTCCTGGGATTTCTGGATTCTTGCTTTAAAGTGTACTTTAGAAATTAAAACCTTGCATTTCTAAAGAGCCTCATTTGCTCTGATTTGCCTTCTTTTGTGAGCTTAACCCAGTCCCATAAGCTACTTTAGTCCTCTGTGGGTTTATTTGACATATGCTCTTTTCTTCCCAGCAAGTAGAAGTGTTCTGTATCATAGGGTTCTTTGTTAGCATTTTTGAAGGAAAAGCACCATGTGCTTAGTTTTTCTTAGAATATATAACAATATAGTGTTATTTTAAGTACCCATAATGCATACAATTAGAATTTTGAAACTCTATGACTATGACTTTCAATTACCTTCTCTGCATTCATGCTTTTTCCCCCTTTTTCTTTTTCTTTATTCTTTTAGTTTTGTGCTTTCGATAAAACTCTTTCAAAAAAATCTGGGAACAAAGAATATAATTCTCCCCAGTCTTACACCTAGTGGAGTCAATTACATCTGTACAAAAGTTTATAAAATATAACCAAACCTGAACAGTAGCACATTCTATTTGCTTTAACTCCAGAAGTGCAAGACAGTGTATAATTAGGCCCTAAATCTTGTACATGCCAGAACAGACGGTAGTATTGACATGTATTATCTTCCAAAAGGCATAAGATACCCATGTAGGCTGAAAGCCACAGAGACATCCTACAGGTCCGAGATTTCCTTTTCACCTCAGCCCCACAAAAAGAGCTGGTTTAAAATAGATTTGCAGCCTTTCATTTAGTACAATGAGGAATTTAGAGATTCTTTCTTACTTCCCCCAACACATAGCCAATCCAAAGTCTTATTTTGAGCAGTCCTAAAACAGATGCCAGGAGAAAGCCTTTCTTGTTGTTCTAATTCAAGATCATTAATCCTGGGAACAGTAAGCAAATGCTCGTACTATATCTGTCAGCTAAAAGCTATAGTGTTGGCAATAATGCAACACATTTACATATGACTGATAACAGTAGTGAGAGAAACTGAATTCAGAGAATGATCATCAAAATCCAAAATTTCACTGACATGTTAGTGTACATTAACACACTTTAATATTTCTCTTAACATGACATTCTACCTAGCCAGAGGTAAAATCTGGGAAAGAAGGGAAAAAGCAGATGCTACTCCCTATAATAATCAAAGGAAAGTGACAGCCAAGTTACAGTTAGTGAGACTGCAACATATCAACAGCTTTATCATGCTAGAGGCACATTTTGACATAATAATGAATGGCTGAGAAAAAGCCACTTTTATCTAGGTCAGAAGAAGAGATCACAAAATGGTGCAAAGGGTGCAGAAAATATGTATGTGGAGGGGGGAACAGGAAGAAAAAAAGGGAGTACATATGCAAGATGTGAGTATTAAATATCAGTAAGAGGATTGCAATCTGCGGAGAGAAACCCATTACATCCTGACATTGCCTAATGTTTGTCACCCAAATACATGGTAATTACTCCACTGTCATATTTCAATATAATAGCACAAATCTCTGATTCCAGCTCCTACAAACAAATCTAAACACATTTCATGACAACTTCATTAGTAATAATAGTTAAAAAAAAACAGATGGCAAAGAAAACAGATGTCTCTGACATCATCTATGGCTTGATTTACACATCTGCAGACATTTACAGTGTGTATGCATTTCAAAAGAATGTTGAGTAAGATAAATTAGACATTCAATATTCTCTCTTTTTGTAACGAACGTTGCGAAAAGGAGGGAAAAAAAAGAAATATGGCTCAAGGGGAAAAAACCCAAGAGCAGCAACAGGAAGATATTACCAAAAGCAAATACCCACCATTTAAAAGGTGTTTATTTCCAAATCAATGTGGCATTTCAGTGCAGATTTAAAGAAAGAAGGGTCATATTATAAAATAATGAGATTGTCATCCTGGAGAAAATGAGAGAAACCTCTTTGAAGTGGCCCAACACAAAGAGCAAACTTGTCCTGCCAAAAGCTGTTGCTGGCAGATCTAGTATACAGAAAAAGCTAATCCTCCTCAATGAAACACAGGTCTGGAATTTATTTGGGCTCATCTAATCTATACAATCCCACCTGAACCAGATATTAAGATATTACTACTGATGATGACATCAAAATGCTTGCACTCACAGGAACTCCTACACCTTTGCCACTTGCATTTGTGAGAGTTACAGACAACGGTCAGCCAAACAGAATAGAGACTCCACAATATGTTGCAATAAACAAAGAAGAATGGAGGAGTCTTATTAAGGAAGAGGAAGTTCATTCAGCTTCTCTTAGACAAGAGGAGCTGCATAGAGCAGCAGCATCAGTAGTGAGGGCATTAGCAGCTTTAAAAATTGAGGGACATACTAGTATGGTGGAACAGTATCAGAATTTCATGGAATCCTTTAGAACTCTACCAGCTAATAGTTAATTGATAGATTTATGGAGCTTTGTGGATTTCTTGTGATGTTTCCCCTTCCCTCCCCACTCCCAAAGTTAATTTAGTACTCACAGGAGATGCCAGATTGATAGATCTGAGACCGAAATCTTCTCTTTATCCACAGAATAGTTAGAGCATGAACTCATCCTCATAAAACCCAACCAAGGTGCCTCAGTTTTGATGTGGATGAACCATACCACATAACGTCCTTGAGTTTCTGTGCCTAGTCAGTCCTTGGTCTGTCTGCTGTGATTGCTAATAAGGAGTCAGGTTTACTAATACATCACTCAGGTTATAAATAACAGATTTAACACTCCCCCTCCCAGTTTAACTGAGTTTATGGCTACTTTTCCCATTAGAGTAGCAAGTGGCTAGAATATATCTGCCAAACTGATCCCGAGCATGCTAATCACTGCCATTATGAACTAGGCTGACACCACCAATTTTTTGTATATAGGCCAGCAAACAGCTATCAGATGGTAACAACTCTGGGTACCTGGTTGGAACTCAAACTGTTAAACTCGAAGTGCGAGACTCCATAGTTTATACGAATCCCTCGATCTATCCAGTCCCCAGCTGGTAGACTTGTAAAGGTTCACACAGCTGTATTTGAAAGGCAGCAAAAGTAGTTTTTGTCTTTAAAAATCCTGATAGAACAAATACCTATTTTTAAATAAATCTCTCTCTGCATGTAAGACTATACATACATTTTACAAGAATAAACAAACTTCTTGAATTCTTATTCACAGAGGAGTTAGGGATCATAGTGCAAACTATTGCTGACCTGCAGCATTTAAACTGTAAACTTTGGGTATCCTAAGTGGCCCATCACAGTACAGCAGATGTCCTCAATCAGTCTAATATCTTCAACAGGCATGTCTTGTTCCCAGGCTTGAATACTAATGGGTGATATTTCACCCTCATAAGGAAGATAGAAAAGATTGGTGGAGGTGGCAAACAATATTTGGTTTAAGCTAGCAGGAGACAGAGGAATACCAAGAAAAGCATAAATTCTTTCCGCTGTCTTCTGGGGAGAGCTCACGATATCTTCAAACTTGACCAGCTGATAATTTGTCTGCAGTAGATACCCATTTACTCGCAGTGCTGCTGCTGTGTTTGCTAGCCACAAATGGGACAGCACAGAAACTGCATTTGACCTGGAATCCATGAGCTCTTCTCTTAGTGCTTCATATTCAAAGGCATAGCCTGAATTTAAACTGCATTTTTCTTTCCCGTCTTCCACTTTAAACATCATTGCTAAGTGCTGTGGAACGTTTTTCAAGGAATAAAGGCTTGGCTTACTCTTATGCAACATTGAGTAGATCCATGCCCTAGGGTCCCTTACTACATACAATGCCCTCATTGAAGGCCCTATGATTTCTTGAAAAAAGGGAAGCTTTAATGTCCAGCTCCCACTACTTAAACTAAGCACAGGACGTGCATTTGGATAATAGGCAAGGTGTCTCCTCAGTTCCCTAACATATTCAGCATCTTTGTCTAATTTTCCTCTTGCTCTGCTTCTTTGTTCGGACAAAGATTCTCTCTTTCTGGCTCTTCTTTTTTTGTCCTTATTTACAATCGAATGCTGAGCAACTTTGCTTCTGCTGCCTTCATGTAAATGAATATTTTGTAAATGAAGTTTTGTGTCTTGGACTAGAGACTGGAGCCAGCCTCGAAGTACATGGAAATGGCCACTCTGGACATCAGACGCCTTCCATTCACACGCATCTACAAATGAGTCTATTTCAAATTCAGTTTCAGGGATATCAAGGTAAGTTGTAGGGATCCTGATGTATATGAAATCACTGCTGTTAAAAAAAAGCTGCTTTAAAATTTCTGCTCCAGAACTGGGAAGTGAGGTAATCACAACATCTGGCAAAACAACAGGGTTTCCTTCTGACTGTTTAGCTTTATTGCCTGCATCAGGGTCTACGTTTATGATGTCACTGTTCCATTTTGCACAGATAGGCTGAGTGCAAGTGCTCCAAACATCCATCAATTCAATAAACCACAGTGTGATAACCAATATTAGTATCCAGCGCAACAATTTGCTGAAGGAAATGTAAAACCGCCACTGAAAAGCCAGTATTACCAAACTAATGCTCAAAACTAATCCTACTATTATATTCACTTTAAATCCAAATGGGAAAACGATACTATTATTTGTTGTCTGTCTTTGTACAGTTTCAGTGCCTAGACCAAATTTGATAACTTTGTTTTGGTCAGCTACCTTTGCAAAGCCACCAAATCCCAAATAATTGAACCTTGTCCTCAGACTGTGATATTCAGTCACAACAGACACAATATTTTCAGTGTTGTTGACATTTAGAAAAATCTGAAATCCGTATTTGGAATCATCTATGAACCTGCAGTTAGAAACATTAACATATGGTCCATGGAACACATACGCAATTCTTGTTACAGTGGTTTTCATAGGAAAGGTAACGTTTATGAACTGAGTCCACCGCTTTTTGAACTCTGCTGCTTGCTCTGCCTCTTGTATCCTGGCAACAGGACTACTCCCGTGATGATCAAACCAAAACATCTTATAGTGAGCATCCCACACATCCATCATGGCTCCGTTATATTTGTTCATAAACATATAGGGTATATATTTAAAATCAATGTCAAGGTTATGAAAGAAGGCACTGACAGAGCTGAGGGGAGAGTCTTTCTCCTTCTCAATATGGTCTACTACTAGCAGTGTCTGAGCATTTAGGAGTAGCAAAGTACGATACACACTTTTTAATTTCATTGCAGAAGAATAGGCAGAAGCTGCCTCACCGCTTACAAACATCATCTCCCCATATTGAGATGCTGTTATTATCTCCCCAGCTGAGTCTCCAACCTCATCACCAGTCCACTTAAGCCACTGTGCGCACTCCCCAAGCTGTCCCTCCCAAGGCTGATTACACTGACTTGTAGGAGATGGAGCAAACACCAGTACGTTATTCAAGTGGCTGAACTTGGGTCCATATAGGGCCTCAGATACAAACACCTGTCCATTGGGAGCAAAAGTAAAGGAGTTCTGATCTGGATGTTCATGCCCTGGATTGAAACTCCTCCACCCATCAATCCAGGAATATGGCTGAAAGTGAACAATGTCATAGACTGCACGCCCGCCAAGCTTTCCAGATTTAAAAGACAGAAAGGTATTGGTCTGAGTATTCGGCAACCCAGCCCCATAAGTAACAACCCCCCAGTTAGGAAACACATGCATCTGAGCAGTGCCATAGTCCAGGGGAGGCTGAGGAGTTAGTTCTGCAGCATACCATATGTACTCCGTGTGAAGCGTGCTCCACCTTTGTGCAGTGGATGGTACCATTGGGCCATCTTTGGGCCTGTGCTTTCTAATCTGTTGTGCCAACCAGTTGCCAGCTCCATTCTTCAGGACAAACTTATCCAGGAAAACCAGCTGGCTTTCAGGGCCATAAAACCAGTTATAATTAGAATCTGCTATGCCCACAGTCCTCTGATAGCCGGGTAAAAGTGTGGCATAATAAAACCAAAAGTGCATTTTCAACCAATTGTTTTCTAGGTTATTAATACCAAAATGGCGCTGGGCCAGAAAAACATATTGGGTTACTGACTTAGCTGTGTAACTGCCATATGCGACTCCTTCATCCAAAGAGCCATCTACAATGTGGTTGAGGAGAAACATGGTTTTTTCCATCATATCGACGACAGCATGCTTCCAGACATTTGTCTGAGATTCTTTGTCCACACCAGTAACCAGGGCCCCCGTGAGCAGTGCTAGCATATTGGTGGCTTGGTGGTTATGGAGAAGTTGCTTTCCCCATGAGCGGACTTTTGAATATTCATACATTTCCTCACTCACAGCCCATATCTTCTTTAGATATTTTTGTCTTCTGATATTATCCAGTGAACTATATAAGAAGTCAAAAGCAGTGGCAAAACCTGTTAAGGAGTGGCCAAGTGGCACTTCATCTCCTGGAGCATTCTCAACCAGCCAGTCTTTGTAGCCACTCATTCTGTCCATGTACTCTAGAACAAAATCAAAGGCAGCTTTATCTTCCGGGCACAGCAAACAATAAAAAGCTAAGGGAGGCAGATTGTTACCATAAATCTCATTCCACTTTGCAGCAAAATCAGCATGCTTGGGTGGAGGTAGGTAGTATGATGGGTTGGACAGCATAACTGTCACTGCACCTCTGATAGCTCTGAAGAGATGTAAATGGCTTGTACGAGACTTCTGCCTCAGTGTTTGGACATCTTCAGCATCAAAATATAAGCTTGGATGAAGAACGACTTTTTTCAGCTTCTGATCAGCACTGAAATCTTGTAATTTCTGTTTCTCATATTGAGCCACATTTTCTGCAAAAGTCACCCAGTCAGAATAATTGCTTACAGATTCTTCAAAAGTGGAGAGCGCAAACATTGCTAATACTAGGAGTGTAAACATAAGAGCCATGATCCATTAGACAGTTCCTTCCCTTCAAGCATACATCTTTACCAAACAGCGTTGTTCAGATGTCAAATGTTGATCCAGTTAGTGTAACGGTGTACACATAAGGCATTTTTGCTTAACAAGAAAAGAAAAAAATAGACTTACTTGTTAGCTTATTTGCAATCTGAGGTACAGGACTAAAAACAAAATCTAGGATTTCTGAAAAGTTGAACCACAGGTCTTTGTCTGTCCATACTTTGCACAGTTACAATGTTAAAGCGTAGCACGTAAAACTAAGGCAAGGGAGCGTCTCTTTGTTTTCTATGTGAAATGCAGGCTGACTATCCAAGTCAAGGGACTAGAAAACTTAATATCTTTTGAGCTGAAAAGCATTGGAAAAAGACCTCAAAATTTGTATTTAAAGTAAGTGAATTAACACATTTGATTAAAAAAAAATCTCTTCCCCCAACAGTCTGACAAAATGCCATTCCTAGTATAGGAAAAAATTGCACTGATGATGAAATCATATTATTTACTCAGAACAACATTTTGTTGTTGCTGAATTAGGAATCTCAGTCCTTACTACAATAGATTCAGATTTGAATTTATTCTCCTAGACTTTTTGTTCTCTCTGTTTACATTTTTTTCTTCGGCTTAGGCTTGAGAGAGTGAGAGTGGTGGAGAGAAACAACACAATTTCTCCATTGGCCTCTCTGAAGAAAAATATAGTATTTCTAATTCCTGGTCATGTCTATTTGTGGAAAATTTGTTTGAATGAATACTTGTAAAATACACAATATGCTGTCATGTTATCTTCTACTATCGTCATTTCATCTTTAACTAGTGAAACCCAGCCTCTGCCTCAATGGTTTAGATAATTCTGCTCTTCCCTTCATGAATGAAAGGGGCACAAAGCTAATATTTTTCCACCAAAAGATTGGGTTTTTTTTCAGTATTCTGTTGGCTTTGCATGTTGATCATTTCTGTGGAAACACAAGCAAAAAAAACTCCAATGCTGTATAGATCTCAAAATATATTCTACAAACTTTTAAAATGCATTACAAAGAATTTCCAGGCTTCCATCAAAAGTAAATTCTATGGCTATAAAAATCAGTTAAAGAACCACCTTGTCAACGTTTGCTCATAATCAAAATAGAATTAACTCATTACCCGAGCTTCTAGTTTGTTTTATGTTTACTTTTTTCCAAGTTGCCTGAAATTGTAAGGTCTCAGAAATTATTTTATCTTATCACAATTCACTTAAACTAATGCAACTGTAATACTCAGAAGTAAAGAATAGGCTTCCCTTCTAAACAACAGTATTTGTATACGGTATTTTCCTAATCATTTTTCAAATGAGTTCTCGTGTGGCACTTTAGAGACTAACAAAAATGCATAGGATCATGAGCTTTTGTGAGTAAAACCTGCTTTATCAGATGACTGGAGTTCATTTCCACTCCAACTTATATGATGAAGTGGGTTTTAGCCACAAAAGCTCATGATCCTATATAGTTTTGTTAGTCTCTAAATTGCCACAGGACTTCTCCTTGTTTTCAAAGTATCCCTCTGAGATATTTTTAAAACATTAAAATAAGATATTAAAATGTGTCCAAATTTCTCAATCCTTCCTTACAAAACCTAAATCATACAAGCAAATATAATGGATGCCCTGCTTATTAGGATAAAACTTATCTTTCCTAGGGCTCTTCTCCTTAAAGAAACATTTATTAAAAGTTTGGTATTACTCCATGTGTATCCTTACCTGTGATCACCCAGTGTATATTTGACCGAAGCCATCAGAGGGCGCTATGAACCAATCAGTGCACAGGAGAATTTCTTCCTTTGCTTATGCTGGGATTGGAAAACTTAACAAGTTTCGGTTGCAAACTGTACATATGTTAAACTAATCAGCGCTAGTCTCCTTTGGCCTCTCCTGCTACTTCCGTAACAAAACCCTCCCCAGCTCTCCCCTTTTGGGACTTATGAATGTTTTAATTGTAAAGCAATCAGCTTACCTTACTCTCTCGTGCGTGTCCCGAGTCATGCGGACAGAGCACCAAAGCTTGCGGCAGAAGAACTGAGAAAAGTGTGGAAAAGAAAACAGCTGGCTGCAGCGCAGCTCGCTCGCTCTCCGGCTCCCTTGGCGCGTCTCCTTTCGATCTCCACTTGAGACAGGATCAGTTGGACTTTCGCTATTTGTCACAAGGCTGTGCCCCGTAATACAGTCAAGCGGCACTTTGTTTTTAATTATCTCCACAAGTGCAGGCAGATCTCTCTGTCTGGCTCTCTCTCCAGCACTGTTCAAGCTGCTTCCCAGAAGGACCAAGCGAGGAGGGGCGGGGGGAAGCCAAAACGACACACACACAAAACCGCCGGGGGGAGGAAAGATCCGGGCGGGAGAACACCCAACAGAGTTGGCCAAACAGCCGGCAGGCTGCTACTTGCCTGGGGCTGCGTTCAGAGCGGAGCCGCCTCTTCTGTCTCCAGCGCCGATCGCCCGGCCGCGCAGCTGGGGCTGGGAGGCGAGAGGCAGCTACGGAGAGAGAGGGGTGGGGAGGAGGGAGCGCAGCGGTGGCAGCATTGCTGAAGCGGGCGGGGCTAAGCCGGCAACCAGCCCGTCCTGTCCTTGCGGTGCTTCTCCAACTCCGCCAGCGGCCCTAAGGAGCATGTGCGAGGGGTGCGTGGAGCGCTCCTGCCTGGCCCTGAGAGCCCCAGGCCAGCCGCTGCTCGGGGCGTGGGAGAGGCGAGATGGGGATGCAGGAGCGCAAGACGGAGATGAGTGGGTGGAGGGGCAGATGACGATGGTGAGTGGCTGGTGGACAGGAGCAAGGGGCCTGGAGGAGGGAGGAATGGGTGACACTAAGGGATCCAGGCGGCCCATAAATAGCTGTTACTTGCAGCTTGAAAGGAGCCTCTCTGCGACTTGCAGCCTCCTGGCTACCTGCAATAAGACCAGAGGTTTTCCGTCTCGCTATCTAACTCCTTCGATCAATGACAGTACTCTGCAGTGAAGCTAGGATTTAACTCCCGCCTAGAGACGCCCTGGTGCCAGACCGGCAGAAGGGACTGGGGTGAATGGAGCCCAAGAGTGAAAGTAAGGGGGTGCTCTCTGGTGCTCAGCTCCAGCAAGATCTGGTTGAGAGGTGGCAAAAAGCAAGCAGGGAGCTATTTAAGGAGCTAGCAAGGACCCAGGTTGCCATAGGACAGTACCTGTAAGACATTTTAAGTTACTTTCACTGCTGATGGAGCCTTAGGTAGCCCCACTGACTTAGGCTATGTCTATACTTGTGGCTTCTTGGGCGAGTAATATGCAAATGAGGCTAAGGGTGGAATATCCCCGAGCCTCATTTGCATACCCAATGAGCCACCATTTTTTTCAGAAGAGGCTCTTGCTCAAGAAGGAGCATCTATGCTGCCCCTTCTTGCGCAAGAAAAACCCTCTTGCACAATGCCGTTCCTCCTGTCAAGTAATAGGTGTAACAGCATTGCACAAGAGGATTTTTCTTGTGCAAGAAGAGGCAGTGTAGATGCTCCTTTTTGCAGCAAGAGCCTCTTCTGAAAAAATGGTGGCTCATTAGGTATGCAAATGAGGGTCGGTGATATTCCACACAGCCTCATTTGCATATTACTCGCGCAAGAAGCCGCGAGTGTAGACATAGCCTTAGAGACCCGCCTAATAATTCTAACTGATAACATATGAAGGCTCTGATCAGAGCCAGTAGTAGCCCACTTGTCTTAATCATTATGAGAAGCACCTATGGACAGTATTTAAGGAGTTTTGTGCCTAGGTCTGTGGTTCTGATCCAGGGGTGTGCATATCTCCAGGGGTACACGGAGGTCTCCTAGCAGGTTCATCAATTCATCTAGCTATTTGCCTAGTTTTACAACAGGCTACGTAAAAAAGCATTAGCAAAGTGAGTATAAACTAAAATGTCATGCAAATAATTACTTGTTTATATTGGTCTATATTCTACACTCTGAAATGTATCTACACTATAGTCCCTTTTTAAAATAATTATATGGTAAAAATTAGAAAGAAAGCAATTTTTCAGTAATTGTGTGCTGAGAGAGTTTTTATGTCCAATTTTCCATTTTTCCAGAAAAATTCTGCACTGTAGACATACCTTTGGAGGTACACACAAGGCTTCCTCATGCCACCCCCAGTAATTTTCAGATCACAGTCTCAAACTGCATTGAAAGTCCATAAGAGCTGCTTGCAAGTTCCAAAATAAAAGCAGAGTGAATAGTAAACAACAAAGAAAACTGCATTGTTTTACATTATCCTCAGAGTCAACGCTCTAAGGAGAAGATTGGGGAACATTCCATGTCTTTAAACCAGTGTGCCTTGTTTGCACCTCAGGAAGGCAAGTTCCCACCAATTCAGGTTATTGTTATTATTTGTATTAGTTTAGTACAGAGGCCAGGACCTTATTGTTTTAGATTCTGCACAAACACAGTACAACAGAGTGGTCCTTGCCCCAAAGAGTCTGCAAAGTATAAGACAAGAGATAAGAAGAGTAGAGTACAGGCAGAAGAGTACAAGGAAATGATAGAACAAATTTACCTCTTTATATTTATCAGTGAACATGCAAAAAAGCTAAGAGTCATCAGCAAATATTCAGGAATATTGTCACCTTGTGCTCCAAAAATCACTGATTTCCCTCCCTAACTCTGCCCCCCAGGAATGAAAGAGGAATCTCTCTCTCAGAAATAAAAGAATTTATGTTTTCCAGCTAGTCAACAGAGGGCAATGTAATTACAAAATGACACATTACAGCATGCCATTTCAATGCAGGACAGAAATAAACATAAACTAGCATGTTACATACAGCCTGTATACAGTCTGCCTGTTCACCACCATACTCTATTGTTTTATAAATAATCTTATTTTCTTATTGGTTATATATGCACTTGTGTTTTAATTCTTAACTTAAAATAGGTAATATTTTCATAGTATCTTATCTTTTATACCAGTGTTGCACATTATGTATCAACAATGATAAGTATAGTCAGTTAACTTTTAATTTGATGCCCTCATTTTAGTATCGTTAACTATGCTTTCCACAAAAAAAATGCTTTTTCACAGCCAAAAAGATCTAGAAATTTTGTCAACTTAAAAAATACATACAAGGTTATATGCTGCAGAAACTAAGGGATACAGAAAAGTACCAGCACACCACTAAGTACTGGACTAGTCCAACCCCTCTTGTTTCTATGATGTAATGGAATGGCTTCTGATCAGCTTGAGCTCTAGGGTCTTGTTCTTGAGTGTCTTACTGTCATGGGCTAAGAAGGAAGGTCCTCTAGTGGGAATGGCAACTAGTGAAAATGTAAGAAACAAAGTCTAGGAATAAATGATCAGTTTTCAGAATGGCGAAAGGTAACTAGTCATGTCCCCAAGGGGCCCATTCAACGTTACGTATTGTTAAATGATCTGGAAAAAGGGTGCTGGGACCAGAACTATTCAACGTATTGTTAAATGATCTGGAAAAAGGGTAAACAGAGAGGTGCAATATTTGCAGATGACACAAATCTCCTCAAGATAGTTAAGTTCAAAGCAAACTGTGAAGAGCTTCAAAAGGGCAAGAAAATAGCAGATGAAATTCAATGTTCATAAATGCAAAGTAATGCATATTGATGAAATCATAATCCCAACGATACAAATAATATGATGGGACAGAAATTAGCTGTTACCTCTCAAGAGAGAGATCTTGGAGTCATTGTTGATAGTTCCCTAAAAAAAAACACGGGCAGCTGCTTTTGCCGAAAAACTTGCCAGCTGTTTACACTGGCCGCTTGAATTTCCGCAAGACCACTGATGATCTCATGTAAGAAATCAGTGCTTCTTGCGGAAATACTATGCTGTTCCCGTTCGGGCAGAAGTCCTTTTGCGCAAAAGCTTTTGCGCAAAAGGACTTCTGCCCGAACGGGAACAGCATAGTATTTCCGCAAGAAGCACTGATTTCTTACATGAGATCATCAGTGGTCTTGCGGAAATTCAAGCGGCCAGTGTAAACAGCTGGCAAGTTTTTCGGCAAAAGCAGCTGCCCGTGTTTTTTTTTAGGGAACTATCAACAATGACTCCAAGATCTCTCTCTTGAGAGGTAACAGCTAATTTCTGTCCCATCATATTAAGTGCAGCAGCAGTCAAAGAAGCAAACAGCATTTTGATTAGGGAGGTTAAATTTAGATTAATCAGCTAATTGCATAGTCAACGGAATTTCCAACAAATACACAATTAGTTGGTAAGGGAGGTGCTCACTGTCCTGCTGTGCCACTCCCTTTGAAATGTTCTCTCTGTCTCTCTCCCTTTGAAATGTACAGGAGCCGCTTGCAGCTCCTGTATATTTCAAATGGAGAGAAACAGTGGGTTCCCTCTGCCTCTCTCCCTTTGAAATGCACAAGGGGTAGCTCCTGTATATTTCAAAAGAAGAGAGGTAGCGGCAACCCATGCCAGCTGGGACCAAAGCAGTCCCCACTGGCATGGGTTCCCCTCTGTGCCTCTTCCTGTGCGGCTCTTGCACATTTCAAAAGGAGAGGAGCAGCAGTGGGACCAGTGCGAGGGGACTGCTCATGCCATTTCTCTGTTTTCCTCTGTCTCCCCTATTCCCTGTGGAGATGTAGAGGGACTGTCTTTTAAGCTGACTCTCCCCAGCACCGGCTCGTGCTCCCCTCCCCTTGCTGCCTCTCTCTGATAGAGGCAGCAAACAGGGGCGGGGAGAAGTGACTAGTCAAATTCCTACTTGACTACCTGATAAGCAAATGCTTATCGGGTAGCCAACTAGTTACTCACATCCCTAGTTGGGAATCATGCAGAAAGGGATAGAAAATAAGACAAACAATATCTTATTATCTCTGTATAAATCCATAGCACAAGAATTAGGGGTCACCAAATGAAATTAATATGTAGCAGGTTTTTAAAAAGGAAACACTTCTTCACACAATGTACAGCCAATCTGTGGAACAACTTTCCAGAGGCTGTTGTGAAGGCCAAGACTAAAATGGGATTCAAAAGAGAGTTAGATACATTCATGGAGGGTAGGTCCACCACTGGCTATTAGCCAGGATGGACATGAATGATGTCCCTAGACTCTGTTTGCTAGATGCTAGGAGTGGGCAACAGGGGTGGATCACTTGATGAATGCCTATTCCGTTCAGAAGACAGAATACGGGACTCATAGACCATTGGTCTGACCGAGTATGTGTTCTTATATTCTTACATGCTGAAGTGGAAAGTGTCTGCTCTGCAATTCATTCATGGTCTCTCATACATTAGAGGTAATGGATATTTCTGTGTGCCCAGCCTGAGCCTATTAATGTCTGAAAGAGACATTCTGACTCCCAGTAAAGTACTGTGGTCCATTGGGCAGTAACAGAATTATAATCAGGTCCCACAAAATGTTTGCACATAAGGTCTCACATAAGGTTTGGTTAAGTTAGAACACTAACGTGCATATTTATAATTGCATAGATTAATAAAAAGCTCTCCCTTTGATTTTAAGTGCTTAACAGGAAATTAAGAGGAGTGAGATTTTTTTGAAATGTTACTAATCACTATATTCATACACTGTATCTCAGAGGGTGAGTATTTTAATCAAATTGAGCACATGAGTCACCACCTTGTCCCAGGCATAGCCTAATTCCTCCTTCACTTTTCTATTACCCCTTGGTATTTTAGTCAATGCAGTTTTATGCATGAATATTTCTCAAGCATTACATTTTAAAACAAAGGGCACTTAATTGCATAACCATCTAATCTTGAGTAGAATAGATGAATAGATAATGTTACTTGGCCTGCATTCTGGAGAGAACATGAAATGAAGTACACTATTTTAAGGCTTCTGTTTTCTGGTTTTAACCAATGTACACAGATAAAAGTGCCGGTTTTTTTGGGGGGTGGGGAGAAGGAGAAAGTAT